ACCAACCTAATAGAAGTGGGGTTTTTGAAAGTAGGCTGAATTATCCAGAAGTATCACTCCAATTTTGTCGCGCAACTTAACGAAAGCTTTCACAAGAAGAAAAATGAGAAAATATTTCCCTTTCAGGATGCTTGCACAGCCATACTTCGAAATCGAATATTGGTTTACAATAAACAACAATCTGCACTGCTCACCTGGTTTTACATTTACTAAATACCATTTGAATCTCCTACAGGTTTCCATTCTGTTTAACTCTGTTTATTTAGATATGGCGTCGAGCTCGTAGAAAAGAAAAAAAGTAACCAAAGGTCTGCCTATGGCTAATTGCAGATCGCTTCTTTACCTCTTCATTGACTTTAGTCAGATTATCCGGCCTCCACAGCTTCGTCACTTATCGTGATGTTTGCGAGCGCTTTTGCGCTCTTAAGTAGTTATGTTGATCTACTTCTTTGTGTACTGCGAAATAAATGATAATTAAGCTCTGACCTAGTCAAATCGTCAACTGAAAACTGTATAGGATCTTGATATCAAATTTAGGGTGTCAGCGAGCACGAGTTGATGGTTGGCGCACTCTCGACGATTTCCCGGGTAGAACACATTGATTGTATTCAAATACAAAATACCGCAATACTACAATACTGCTCCTAATTTATGAAACATCTACGCGTCGCGACGGTTTTGTAGCGTCGCGACGCTACAGAACCGTCGCAAACCGTCGCACCGTCATAACTCCCTCGGAAGCAGATGAAATGAAAGGCTCTTTACAGCGATGGACTCGTCTCTCTGTGGGGAGTCTAACGATGTGCAAAACTACTGATTTGGTTAGAGTTGTAATAAGTTATTCCATGGAAAACTATGTCGTCAACCCTCGTTTGTCGCCTCTCCTGATTTCCACTATCTCTCCGATCGAGGACCAGCTCTCAGTAGGAAACGCCCAAGGAGTTAACAAGTCGTCGCGCCGCAGCGCGCGGCCACTTGGGCAATTTTTCTGAGGGGCTCGGGATTTTTCGGATTTGATGGTGGGAGCAGCGAATTTCCTGCAGTCCACAATAATCTCTGTGGGGCGCGGATACCAAATTCCAACTCCCATGCTCTGGCTTTTTCATAGAAAGTGGCGTGAACAAAATTGTTTTCGATTTCATAATAGTAATATTGAAAAACATATAAAGCAAAAAGGTTTTCGAAACTATGCGCGCATTAACTAAGACTAGACTTGAATCTCGAAGAGACGACTCCGAAGAGCGTTCCGCTAGCATTCAGTCATATTGACGCACACAGAAACTCGTCCGCTGCAGTTGCAACGTTGCGGCAATGACCAGCAGCGCGGGATTCAAACGGTTTTGTTGGCATACACCCGCTTTCAGCTCCCCGCCTTGATGATTTCATAACGCCTCCCCGAGCCACGGTCAACCGTCGCCTTGAACCGATTTCGAAAGTCTTACGACCCCCTTCCCCTTGAAGAGTCTCGATACCATACCCGCCTCCCCTCCGCTCTCAGTAACAGTTACTTTGAGCAGAGATGCTGCAACGTGCGGCTCCGTCGCGTGCTTTCCATTGGCGCGCACAGTTCGTCACCGGAAAGCGACTGATCTAACCATCCAATCAGTAATTATAATGTTCTTCTGCCAACGAGGTTTATTAGATGGAGTCCTTATTACTGGCCTGACGTTTCGTTTCTCTCGTTTGGGTTTCCGGTTCTTCCCCTAATGTTCCGTCAGAACAGAAACATTGGGGAGAGGAGGCCAGTGGCGGTTTAAAGGACGTCTCTCAGCCCTTGAGCCACGTTTATACCTTTGAGGAAGACGATCGTGGAGATGTCAGGCTACTAATAAAGTCTCCACCTAAAACCCTTGTTGCTAGAAGAAGAACATAACTACAAAAATCTAAAAAAGCTCACAATCAGATAGACTTGTTGGTAGGTTCGAAAAGGCGAAACTATCTCGACATTCAAACTCCCACATTTCAATCATTAGAGTGCTGTTCAAATGCGCTTTCACCGCACAAACAATACTTTTTTTAGGAACACTCTTTCCTCTTCCATGAGTAACCAGTGTCGCACGCGTTGCGCGCACGACACAGCTCTGAGGCGATGTGGGTTGGTGCGGCGTAGCGTAGTTGATCTCCCTTCCATTTTGAAAATCGATTCATTGTTGGTCTCCAGGACCTGTTCGGACCGAGTTATAATGTTTTGTGGATAACCCCGCCTTTTTGGTGCATTCCCCGCCCACCAATAGCAGTTAGCTTCATTTCCTTCGCTGACCTCTATTCACTTTTTCCCCGTCTCATGGCTTTTTTGGAACCGAGTTATAAATTTATTAGCAAACTCCGCCCACTTTGTGCCCGCCGCGCCCACCTTTGGCATCCAACCTCTCCTTCTTCTCTAACCTCTATCCACCTTCTTCCCGCTCTCCCTTCTTGGAACCGAATTATGGGGACTTGCAGGAAAGGCTCTTGCATGCTGGGAACTCCCTAGACATTGCTACGCTACACCGATTTTTTCTGCTCTATTGACTTTTACCTAACCGAGTTGTGAATTTTTCCATTGATTACGTGACTACTTGAACTCTCCCCTGTGTTCTCTGCCGCGAAAGGCCAGAGCGCAGACGATTAGAGAACGGCGCCTGGCTCGGCTCCAAAACCCAAGAAGGAAGGTGACAACCCTAGGACTAAGCCTTGGAGGGAGAAGGGACTCCGGAGTGGGTGAGCCAATACATTGTGGCAAAGTTTGGATGTGTCAGATCACAATAATCATAAGCCGCTGTTTAAGCGAGAGAGCGAGCATCGAGTCGACGCGGTTTGAAGGACTGAGTTCAAGTTGTCCGTAGACATTTTCCATTAAGTACTGCCTTTTCGAAGAACCCCCGCCCACCGAGGGTGGGTTTCCCTGATTCCATGTGACTTACCAATGCGTACCTTTTCCTTAGTTTCGAGGCTGTTTTGTTATGAACTTGAATCTTGGTCGTCAGTACAGTTCATTTCGATGCACGCCACGCCCACTGTGGGCGGGCTCCGCTTAGCTGATGTGTTTTGTACTTCGTGAGACCTTGCCCACCCATCCCACACTTGACCCGGTCCCTCCAGGTGGATCCCAAGGAGCTAGTGAATTTCGTATAGTATGCATATGTAGCTGAGCTGAAGTCGCTTCAGTGCTAGATTGTTTAAACGAGCGCGCGGGAAATTTTTTTGAAGAGGCGAGCATCTTGGCGTTTACGTCCAATCGTAAGTGGCGAAGGGCTCGAAGTGAGGCGTTACGAAATCATCGAGGCGGTAGCTAAGAGCTGGTCCCTGATTGGAGAGACAATGGAAACATGGAGAGGCGAGACTGTCAGACGAGGGATCGACATAGTTTCAATGGAATAAGTTGTTACCAGCTTAACCAAATTATCAGTACCAGGTTTGCTCCGCCGCTATCGCGCGCATCACAGGGTAGGGAGGAACCACGGAATAGCAGCATGACGTACTCCATTAACCACCTCACTATTGAATGTGTTATACCTCCTTTACCCCTTCTCTCCGGCGCATGGCAGCGCCATGTTCTCTCTCCCTTTCTCCTCTCCCCCTTCCCTCCCTCTTTCACTCCTGAGACTGAGTGTGCTCGATCGGTGTTTATATAGCCGCTGTGGGTTTATCATGATCATGACATCAACATCACGAAGTGTTGCCCTTCGTACTCCCTGGTTTTGTGAGCGGTCGGTCCGGACGGACAGAACGACACACGCACACACACACACTGACAAACCGACACACCAAAGTTCTGGTTTATATAGCGAAGTGCACATGGTATGCCACAGAGAGACGAGTCTATTGCTGTAAAGATCCCATCATGTTACCCGCTTCTGAGGGAGTTATGACGGGGCGACGGTTTGAAAAAACAAAACCGTCGCAACGCGTAGATGTTTCAAAAGTTAGGAGCAGTGTTGTATCTATTATGTGCACTAGCCGTACTAGCTGTAATATGGCTTTTGCTCCCGTACCAGCTCTCTTTGTGCTACCTCAACAACGTAGGCAAGATGTGGCAGTTCATATTCTGCCAGATGACCACGAGCTGTGTTACGAAATCCACTATAAGACCCGCCTTTCAGACCACCACTGATACATACATTTGCTGCGAGGTGCCGAGGGCTTGAAGCAAAAATTAGAGAAGCATATCCTCGACCTTGTGCCACCTGTAAAGTTAGGAGTTGGGTTGTTTATTACTGTATATTACTGGTCCAGCCAACCCTGCTCGCCCGCATTTCTGCGAGCCTCGAAACACTCCTCAAGCTGCTGCAAGGCACCTGATCATCCAAAGATGCAGCGAATTTCAACGGAGCTCTGCAGAATTGCAGCGACCAGCCCCACTTAAAATGAGGGTATCATAAAAAGTTGATTTTTTCAAAATAGAAAATTCTCGAAAAACCGTGTCCTATCCCGTGTCCTATCCTATGTTGCCATGTTTTTACGAGCAGACTCCAATCTTGCTAACTTGTGCTGAGCCTTGAAGTGAGTAGCTTTTCTCAGCGTCTGTCGAGTGGTGTATTCATTTGAGCGGATGAGGCGCTTAATGGTCATTTTCAAGGCTGGTATAAAAATCTGAGCTCGGACAGACAGAAATCGACAGGAAATCGACAGTATGCGGGCTACTCTTAGTTTTATATGTGGAATTTGGGGTGTCCACATACTTTTGAAACGCAGTGTATCATGCACTAAATCTGTCTGTCTGCGTGTTCCTCCGTCTGTCACGAAATTTGGTACTACCCAAGAGCCACAGAGAGAGTCCGGGACAAGTTAGAGATGGGTGCGACATGGGTCAAGAAGCACAAAAAACATCAGCTTGGGCGAGTGTTGTATTATAAAAACATCGGC